CTGGGAAGAGAACTGGAAGAGTAGAATGGTAGAAATGCAGCCCTGTAGAGTTGATGCAGTGATGAGTGATGGGATATGGGTGGTGGTGGGAGCATGGGAGTGGACAGCTGAGGTGAAGTGGAAGGAAAAATCACTGGGGTGAGAAGATCAAGGAACTAAGAAATCTTGATAGTGGATGGGTCACCTGGTGGATGTCAGAGTCACTGGAACTAATGGGAGGAGTGTGTGTGTATGGGGATGGGGCGTTGGTGGTATGGGTCAGGGGTTAACAGAGGAAGAGAGTAAGCCAGACCAAAGAGTTTAGTGACTGGGGAAGCAACTATTAAGTTAGCAGAGACAATAAAAAGGAGGGGTGGTGTAGACAGAAGGCTTGAGCTTTCAAGGAGCTAAAGAATAGTTTAGAAATGTTTCAGCTGGGGCTGGGGAGGACTCAACCCCACCTTCTGGCCCCAAGGAATGTGGAGTATGAGACAAAAAACTCTCTACTTGAGAGGACTGCAGGGGAAACTAGGTCACAAATAAGTTAATATTTGTGAAGCACTTAGAATCGTGCCTGGCACATACTGTTTGTTAAATAAATAAAATTAATTAGTTCAGATCTAGAGGAATAGAAAACGTTAACAGAAGAGGCCGAAGATACAGGAAAGTTTACAGCATGCAGATATTCCCTCCACAGATTTGTGGTCTGGTCAGTCTGTGAGCTTCCTCTCCTCCACCCTTCAGTGACTAATCCCAGCCTTCCTGTTCTCCTGAATCTCTCCCTCCTTCACACTCAGCAGCTGATCTTGCCTGAGGCAAGTTAGGCGAAGTCTCCCTAATTTTGTTCCTGTGCTCAAGTACATCCACCTTTCTCTTCCCTCCTCCAGTCAGAGGAGATGGTTCATTCCTCTTCTTCAGACCAATTTGAGCCATTTCCTCATCCCTAGACTTTGTCCCACGTCTTCTAATCTCTTCCATCTCTCCTTTTTGACTGGCTCCTTCATTTATAAACATGCTCAAGGCTCCCATCACAAACGGATAAGAACTGTTCTCGCCTCTGTCCCTGATAGCTGTCATTCAATCCTTCAAGCCCCTTCTTCCTCAAACCTCCCCCTGTTCACTCTTCAACTGGCAACAGTAAGTTTTTGCTTCCCCTACCACTCTGATGTCTCTGTTTTACTTACAGACAAAAGTACTCTCACATTTGCCAAATTTGATGGGCATTTCTCGGTCCTTAATGTTCCCTGACTCCTCAGCTACTTTGGACACTGATGACTACTCCTTCCCTCCCGGAATTGTGCTGCGCACTTTGCTGCTCTGTCACTGGCTCTACCCATGGCTCTTTGTGCCCCTCGTTCAGTATTTGCTGGGTGCTCTGCCCTGCTCTTATCACTGCCAACCCCTTCTTGGCTGATTGTATCCCCTCCCAGGGCTACAGAGGCCATGTAAATGTTGATGGCACCCTCATCTATATCTCTAATCTGTCTTCTCCCCAGCTCTCTACAGGTTCCCTCTACTTGGATGTCCACTGTTACAGTAAGCTCAGCCAGGTCAAGCTGAACTTCCTTAGAAACCACTCCTCTTCCTGTGAATGCCACCACTATCCACTCAGTGCTTTAGGCTACGAATCTGGGAGTCAACCAAGACTCATCTCTCCCCCTTTCTAATCAGACAATACCCCCTACTAGCTACACTTCTTAAATACTTCTCAAATTTATTCCACCTTAGTCTACATTGCTACTGCCTAAATCCAGGTCTTCTCATCTCTTGCCTAAACCAGTGGTCGGCAAACCGCGGCTCGCGAGCCACATGCAGCTCTTTGGCCCCTTGAGTGTGGCTATTCCACAAAATACCACGTGTGGGCGCACACGTACAGTGCGATTGAAACTTCGTGGCCCATGCGCAGAAGTCGGTTTTTGGCCTGGGCAAGTCTATTTTGAAGAAGTGGTATTAGAAGTGGGGGTACGTTCGCTGAGGTTGACCCCTCAGATCGAGGATGTTTTTAGCAAAGGCCAGCTTAGGAGTATCCTAATTAATTTAATAACAATGTACCTACCTATATAGTTTAAGTTTAAAAAATTTGGTTCTCAAAAGAAATTTCAGTCGTTGTACTGTTGATATTTGGCTCTGTTGACTAATGAGTTTGCCGACCACTGGCCTAAATGATTGCAAGAGTATCTTTGCCTTGTATTTGGATCCAGGCTCCAGTGTTCACTAGCTTTGTTACCTTGGACTACTTACCCTTTCAGAGTCTACATTCATAAACAAAATGTAAAGCACAGCACCTGGCACATGGTGCTTAATAAATGGTAATTGGATGATTATGATGATGATGTTAAAACCACTTGTCTGCTGTCTCATCACATTCTCTTTCGCCCTCCGCCAAGAAGAGGAGCTTGATAAAATGGAAACCTGGCTGTCCCATGCTCCAGTGGCTTCCTTTGGCTGTTGCAGTGACTTCTAAGCTCCTTGGTGTGGCCCATAAGGCCCTCCATAAACTGGCCCCTGTCTCTCTCCAGACTCCTGTTACCATTCCTTGTCTTGGATTTGGTCTCCAGCCATATCAAGCTGTTTATAATTCCCTACCCACACTATGCTGTTTCTGGATGCCTTCTGTGTCTGGAACACCCTTCCTCCTCCTCCTGCACCTTCCTTTGGTCAGGCTAACATTACTTACCCATGAAGACTGAGCTGACATCATCTCTTCGGAAGCCTTTCCTGGCTACCCTCTCCACCCACCGTGGGCCAGGTGCCCCTCAGTGCATTTCCTTATCAGTGCATCTACTGACTTCCTTTTATTAATGATAAATAATAGCCTCCAATATATAGCGCTCTCTGTGAGTGTGGCAAATCCTCAGAGCCTATAATATTTAATGCTTTAATCCTCCACTCCTTGGGAAGCCTGTACTGTCTCCATCTTACAAAGGAAGAATCCCTGGCTCATCAAAGTTAAGTAACTTGTCAGGGGTCACAGTTTAATAGATGACTGACCTGGGAATTGAACCTGGGCAGCCTCGCTCCAGGGTCCACACCCTTAATCATTACACTGTTTACTTCTATAGACTCTATTTCAGTACTTCTATAAACACTCCTCGGTAGGCTGGAAGTATTTTAGAGGTATGCACTATGCTTTATCTTTATATCCCCAGAGCTTGGCACAAATTTGACAAGAGTAGGCAGTCAGTAAATGTTTAATTAGTTAAAGTAAGGGCTAGTTGCATATTTTTCTATGAGAAGGGTTTGTAAGCACCTGTGAAAGGTGAACCTGTGTTTGTGCACATGGTGAGGAATGCGGATATGTCAGCTCTTCTGAGAGGTCAGGGATGTGTTTCTACTCAGTCGTGAGAGATGAGCTGAGGCCTTTTATACCTGCTGGCAGGACAAGATGTGTGTGCCAACCAGAGAGGTTTCCAAAGGAAGTGTAATGGCACCCCTATGAGGAAAGGAATCAGCACCCAGGGAAAATGTGAGGAGGGGTGTACTGACGCTGCCCCACCCCCTCTTTCCCTCTCTGGCCAGATGCCTCCAGAACTATATCCCTGCCCAGAGCCTGA